TCACATTCACCGATTAATGTGTCATTACTACACATTCCTAATCTCGTTTTTTCGGGGTCAACTGCTTAAATCGTGCCCTTTTTGCTTGGAAATCGTAACGCACTTCCTGTAACTGACTCTTCTCCGCTGACCGCAGTGATGGTCTAATGTCGCATAGCCATTTTTAGGATGCGAATGTCAAACTGAGCTCCTTCACATCTTTTATGAGAATAATTCTGATCCGCTTTTCTCTAAGCGCAAAGCAGTTGCATAGCTAAAAGTCGAAAACATTCGCTTTCCGCTTCGGCGAAATGTCAGCATAAAAGAATACTGTTCGCAGTGTCACCCAAATCTGACTCGATTCCACTGCTGCTTGTGACACAGGTGAAGTTACTAGCTTCCGGAGCGCATCGTGGATATTTGTGTAATTTGTTCTCTACATCCTTTCATTACATTTTTTATCCAAGTGTAAGTCCACTTTATTCCCTCATCGAATCTGTGCCGCCTGCAAAGTATATTGATGCAGGAATGGAAAAGATATGAGATGCTGAAAGATAAGCCTCAAACCTTAACATTTTGCTAATGAACACCATTCCCATCGTGGAATGTTATAGGTTGCATGGACCGAGTCGAATCTGCCCTTTGAAAATCGCTACGACTACTACTTGGACGCGAGCTTTTACCAACACAGGGTTAGTCTCTCCGTAGAATATGCTTTTCCTTCACTCTTCCTGAAACTGTTCTGACATTATTGTGCCTACAGATTCACTGGTTCTCCATCTTCAATTCTTTCATGATGGTCATATTCCTTGTCGTGTTGGTATCTATGATCCTCCTGCGCACGCTTCGCAAGGACTATGCTCGCTATAATCGAGAAGATAACCTTGAAGATCTGGTGAGTTTTAGATCTCCTAACGTCACTATTTCGGTATCATAACATTTTTGATTTTTGATTTTTTTTTGGGTGGGGGGGTGGGGGGCTTATCAGTGGGTGGAAATTCCGGATATGTCTCCTTAGGCTAACTGAATTTCACTTACTAACTGGATGCTTTAGAGAACAGCAGTCTCAAATTGAAACAAACTGTACGAATTGGCCTCGACCATCAGATCCGATGATACTGAATTGTCTAATTCTTTCAAGACGTTTGGTGGAGTCACGAAGATGCTACTTATAAGTAGTGAGTAAATTAGTGATAGCAAAGAAATCTTTTGAAATTATCAAGATTTTGGTACCAAGGCACACTAGCTTCCCAGTTCATCTCTCTTTTGTTCGATTCCATAGGAACGAGAGCTAGGAGACGAATACGGATGGAAGCAGGTGCACGGAGACGTGTTTCGTAGCCCCACAGGCACTCTCTACTTCGCCAGTCTCATCGGCAATGGAGTGCACATCACAGTAGTTTCCCTCATGGTTGCCCTGCTAGCTCTCATCGGCAAAATGTACACGGAGAGGGGCGGTGTCCTCTCTACCATCATCTTTGTTTATGCGCTCTTCTCCCCTGTCAATGGATTCACTGGAGGGCGTACCTACTTGCATTTGGGTGGTTAGTGGATACTTGCGTTTACTGCTGCTTATGTGACTTGATAGATTGAATTTGCGGCCGTTTTGTGTCCGCCTTTGCGAATGGCTATTTGCATGCGATCCTCAGCTGCTTGTCGTGATAACTAGTATCACGGAATGTTAATATTAGAGTCTACTCATCCATTGGCGCCCGCACCATCGCATGGTCACCTCTGTACTCAAAAGAAATAGCATTTTACTCTCCAGTACCCTTGTTTCGAGTACTTTTCCTACAGCCGTCCTTATACTTTAGCCGTTACCATTATTTCAGGAAATCCTGTTCACCTTCGGAGTGCAAGAGGCTGGGGCGACTAGATTGCATCGCATCGGAAATGTGGGAAATCAATTGTGTACTTCTCCCATAGAATGAGCAAAATTTGAGGTAGATTTGTTTGGAAAGTAGTTCTGCCTAAATCTGTTGTAAAGCATACAAGGCCCATACAATGAGCATCCTTTATCAGAATAAAAAGTGGAATCGCACATTTCAAGGCATAATGGCAGCATTAGAACTTTTCACCATCCTTTTTCTTAACTTCCTATTTCGTTTTCAATCTTGCCTTTGCAAAGCATTGAAGCGAATCTATCTTCCTGATCGTAATCTCAACGCGTAATCCACACTTTATATCATAAGAGTATGTGGAAAATTCAGTTTCATTGTAACAGCTTCCTACTGTTGTTGGATTCTGGATGGGCCAAGAAATCCGATAAGTTACAAAGAGACCAAACTCGGAATAACTTTGTCAAAAGCTTCTTTGGATCTAAGCGCTCACAATGTATAGCTTTCTTTTTTTATCCAACTCTGGAAGCTGGAGCTGCAATACTTTTTCATTATGTTGGGGAATGCTCTTACCATCAACTGCCGGTGATGTCATCGGGCAAACTTGTCATAATTCAGCTTTACTTTAAACACGTACAGTTATTGGTATCACGTCATCAGAGGATTAACTAGAAATCTCCTTCATCTTGTGCGTTGTCACCTTCTTGTCTTTATTTTTCAAAGTTGTTTGCAGAGTTCAACAGCCCTTGTTACAGTGTTCAAAGGTCCTACTCACAATCCCATTTATCTTTCTTTTACAAGGAAGAATCCATCGCGTAGGACATTTCTAGCCAGCTCTTTATTCTGGAATCCATCTACTTAGTTTCTTAAAATTGCTCTCTTACTCATAAAGGACTTTTTCCTTCTCCCACAGGTAAGAACTGGATCCGCCAGCTCTTCGTGGGCAGCCTTTTGATGCCCACTTTAGTAGTCATCATCGCTTTGGGGATAAACACCTTAGCTCTTTTCTATCAGACCTCCCGTGTTCTTCCGTTCATCACCATGCTTGCTGTATTTGCAATCATCGTCTTTGTCATTTTGCCACTGAACCTTGTGGGTACCGTGCTCGGTCGCAACATTGGCAGGTCGGCGAGTACAGGAATGGCCAATCCGTGTCGAGTCAACTCTGTTCCCCGTCCTATTCCTTCTTCCAAGTGGTTCACCAAGCCTTTGATAATCTCGTTCATCGGCGGTGTACTGCCTTTCGGTTCAATCTTTATTGAAATGTAGGTTATTCCTTAAATTCGGCTTATCATTATGTTCATTGCCTACTCTTGGGATTTCTCTTCCACGACGACTTGAATAGTAGTATAGCACTTACATATCTTGTGACTCATAAATAGGGTTTCTGTGCCTCTAATTGCAAGCTGCGTGAAAAGGCCTGCTACCAAAGCCTGGACCCCATTCTCTATAGGCATTTTGTACATGTGTTTAACCCCCGTGATGGGGTTATGAGTCAAGACAGTGAAGATTTTGCAACATGCAGAGGCCTTGGAAGACTAGTAACGTCGGTAGATGTTGAGTTATAAATGCATCAACTCCCCCTCCCTTCAGTTTTTGTTTTCTTAGTTACATCAAAGCGATCAGTGTATTGACATCAACCATTTCATTCCCCTATATTTGGGGCAGCACACTGTTGACACTATTGCAAAAGTCATTTGTCTAGTGATCCACTATGTGGGGGAATTTGTGTCGTTTTTGTTCTGTAAAATTTGTCCCACCAAAAAATACGTGGGTTGGTATCACATTTGAAGATAACATCGCCAACTTAGGATATCGTTGTAAGCATTATTTTTTCATACTGACCCTCTGATTGGGGAAAGATTTCGGAAGTTAATCTTCTCAACATCACCCCTGTTCTGCGCTTGGAGATAGGTGCCATGGATGGGCGTGAAGAGAACTATATGATAATAGCACCATATTTGAATTATGAAATGCTTATGAAATCGCTTGTGTAGTTAAGTATCATAAGTGTATCCAGTAGTAATCATTACGTATGCTTTCCAGCTGTGAAGTTTCTCTATTTTCAGTGTGATCTCCCATTTTTAATACTAATTATGGTCACTGGCCTTCACGCTGCTTCACTCTGACATGGAATTATGTGTTACTATAGGTACTTTATTTTCACATCATTCTGGGCCTACAAGGTGTACTACGTGTACGGTTTCACTCTCCTCGTCGTATTTATCCTCATTGTTGTGACTGGCTGTTCCACCGTCGTGTGCACCTACTTCCTCCTCAATGCCGAAGATTACCGCTGGTGAGCCTCTGTTCCACTTTTTCGGATGCTTTGGTGCATTTCTGCTGTCCATTATACTCAGTGTTTTCGACCGGACTGAAGTTAGACCACTGAATGTGCTCAGTTCTGGTTTAGTTGTCATGGATAATGCATTGTTTGTGGGAAATGTATAATTATTAGGCTCCTCTTTAAGTCAGGGGTAACAGACATTGAATCGCTTTGATCAGCCTGATACCCATTCGGTTGTGGACTGAAAGACTTGCATCTGGAGTGTCTTTGCTAATGATCTTGTAGAAGAGCTGGAAGGCCATATGCATAGGTGGCTCGAGGCGACTTCTATTCCACTCTCATGGAGGCGAAGTCGTGAGTGTTAGGAAGGGCTTTTTTGTCCGATACAAAAATGATATCGTGGTTCGACTACAAAGGGTTTTAGATCAGCTTGCGATTGTCCTACCTTTATTCCTTACGCATTGTGTTATAAGGTTTGCTTTCATGCTCTTTCATTGGGGAAGAAACATGTTGGTCCTCCTATGGTACAGTTACAATTGATACTTTTTACCCATTGGGGAACGCTTGCTTTGAATCTTGCTTTCTGTGCCTAGAAGTAAACGGTCCACGCCCAGTCACCTTTCTTGTTTCACTCTTGTTCCCCAGTCGTTTTGCGTGTAATCGTTGAATGCTAAAGGGGAAAGGAGGTCGCGCCCATCCCATATCTTGTGTGATAACTTCTTCGTCAACCAATTATTTTGTTAGTATAAGGCACGGGATCTCGTGTCACCAGCTCAAAGCAGGACTTTTCTATTAGTTGACCATTTGCGACTCTTTTTCAAATGGAACTTCACTTGTGTATGTTTGAGCCGTAGAAAGTGTGCGGAGCCCAAATGTGGTTACTTGGCCTTCGGTGAACGAACGATTCTCCTCTCAATTCGTTGCATACAGAAACGTTTCGCTGATAGATGTTGAGAGTGAGGACCGTGCTAAGTTAAACGCTAGTGCTCAACGTTGAGATGCAGTAGTCCTCGCAACCATGCTGTAAGGTATGCAGACACAATTCCTTTGTCTACCTTCCAGTTGTAGACAGGATGCGGCATTACTCACATCAAATATGATTTTGATCAATAGCGATCATCGTGATGGTGGCCCCTCCACTTCTGAGTGTTCCGCCACCGGGGCGTTCTTAAGTCACAGTGCTTCCCTGGTTTAGTTACTTTGTATTGCACCTACAGAACATGATATGTGGATTGAACGAACTTTCGCAGTCTTGATACCCCGAAGCTCTTTTCAACATAGTTTATCTCTAGTTCTGCTCTTTTTCTCCTAGGCAATGGATAAGTTTCTTCTCTGGCGCCTCTACTGCTGTCTACGTGTACATCTATTCCATTTATTACTTCCTTTTCAAAACAAAGTAAGTTGTAACGCATCTTCCATAATTTTAACAAGAAAAGTCATGCATCGATATAATGTTTCTCTATTTCTCCATTTCGCAGAATGTTTGGACTATTTCAGACTGCCTTTTACTTCAGTTATATGGCCTTCTTTTGCTTCTCCCTGGGTTGCATGTGTGGTGAGTTTAACCGCTCTTTGACCTATGGTTTAGCCTCGTTGACTCCTTGATTGCCCATCCTTGAATAATTTAACCCTCTAGGCGCCATTGGATACCTCTCGGCAAATCGGTTTGTGCGGACCATCTACTCGACTGTCAAAATTGAATAGTTTAGCGCATACAACTGCGACTGGGTCTACAACTCCTGTCTGTTTTTCTCATTTTTTCATACACTCACTCACGTCTGACAAATGCGATCGCGCTGCTACTTTTTTCTTTTTCACAAGAAAAATTTCCTTGTGCAAATCCTCATCATTCGTGCCACGTCTACTGTAAGCGTCAAGCTGTTAAAAATGGCCTCATTTTCAGCGCCACATTTTTTTGATTGGTCATTGGCTGAAGCCGGCGGCCTAGTAGTTGAAACGGGCTCAGTTTATTGGTTAGCTGGAACCCACAATTTCATCGATTTTCATCTTCGTTGCTTGGAGAAGTGGTCTAGAAAACGATTAAGATTTGAGGGACTAGGATGAGTAACTGATCTCGACAGAGTAATTGGGTCATCGCTTCTTTCAGAATCTAGGTAACTTCTAGGGGATTGTGGTGCATGCGTCAGGAGTCAACAAAAGTTCGGTCTTTCAGAAAAATTTCGCTTTTGCCGAGCGCTTTCTTCCCAGAGGAGGGCTATAAATACAAATCGTAGTGGTGGTGGGACGTTTAGTAAATTTGGCTTGAGAGTTTAGCATGGATCAGAATAAGGTGTTGATGTTTACCGCGGTCCACCAAAAGTGCTGACAAACGCTTGTCACTCAAATAGGATTTGTGTTGTGCTTTTACACGGCTGTAATTTCATTTACAAGTTGGACTTAAACTGCTCCTGTGAAATAGACAATAGCCATGTTAAAGATGTTATCAAGTGCAGTTGTTCAGCTCTGCTGTCGTCAAGGCACTTCATCACCCTCATCTGATACGGTATCCCTTTCTATATAATTCAGAAAGTTTTTAATTGTCATGTCCACTCTAGCATTCATTTTTGTCTAATAGTATTTCAAAGGAAGTGAACTTTTTGATAAGGTTTATGGTGTTCTGCATAAAAAGAAACGTTCCCATTAGGTGAGCAACGTTTTCGTATTTATAGATTATCGCTAAAGTTTCATGATTTTTATCTGTCCTTGTAAATAGTTGTTTTTTTGTGCTGAAGCTAGTTTATTCTCAGATAAGCTTCACACGAATGGAACTCAAGCTTTGTACCAAAACGACAAGTCAGGTAGTGGTGGTGGTAATGAGAATATTTTTAAAGCCGTGAACACCTGCATATTTGAACTTGCAAAAGCGCATTGGGCTTCAGAACTCCTCATCTTCACCTTCTTCTGCAACTGTGTCTGTTCCAACTTCCTCGTAGTCCTTTTCCAATGCCGCTAGATCCTCTCGAGCCTCGGAAAACTCGCCTTCCTCCATGCCCTCACCAACAAACCAGTGAACAAAACAGCGTTTGGCATACATGAGGTCAAATTTGTGGTCCAGACGGGCCCAAGCCTCAGCAATAGCCGTTGTGTTGCAAATAGAGCACAGGGCGCGCTGAACCTTTGCTAGGTCACCTCCTGGAACCACGGTAGGTGGTTGGTAGTTAATGCCTACTTTGAAACCCGTAGGGCACCAATCGACAAAATGGATGGTTCTCTTAGACTTTATGGAGGCAATCGAAGCATTAATATCTTTTGGAGCCACATCTCCTCGGTAAAGCATACAACAGGACATGTATTTACCGTGACGTGGGTCGCATTTAACCATTTGATTTGCTGGATCAAAAGAAGCATAAGTTATTTCCATCACAGTTAATTCTTCGTGGTAGGCCTTCTCAGCTGACACCGTGGGTGTGTACGTGACCAGGGGAAAGTGAATTCGTGGGTAGGGCACCAAATTTGTCTGGAATTCAGTCAAGTCCACGTTTACTGCTCCATCGAAACGTAATGAGGCTGTGATTGAACTGACTACTTGAGCCAACAGCCTATTTAAGTTCGTGTAAGTTGGCCGCTCGATGTCGAGATTGCGCCTAAAAGTGAAACACGCATATCCTCCTGATCTACGCAAAATCACATGATATAATCATGAATCGCAGATCTCACCGACAAATATCGTAAATTGCTTCGTTGTCGTACGTGAAGGAACAGTCTGAGTGCTCCAAAGTTGAATGCGTGCAAAGGATGGCGTTATAGGGTTCCACTACGGCAGTTGAAATCTGAGGGGCAGGGAAGATGGAAAATTCAACTTTTGTCTTCTTTCCGTAGTCGACACTTAGCCGTTCAATCATGAGAGCATTGAATCCCGATCCTGTACCACCACCGAAAGCGTGGAATATGAAGAATCCCTGCAGGCCAGAGCATTGGTCGGCCAGTTTTCGAGCTCTATCCAACACCAGGTCAACTATCTCCTTCCCCACTGTGTAGTGTCCACGTGCGTAGTTGTTGGCTGCATCCTCCTTTCCTGTTATCAGCGCGTCGGGATGGAATAACTGACGGTACGTTCCAGTGCGGATTTCGTCCACCACCGTCGGTTCAAGGTCAATGAAAATAGCTCGTGGAACATGTTTGCCTGCCCCAGTTTCAAGAAAGAATGT